TGAATACTCTACCCTATAAATATGTACAATTGTTTTGTGTCAATAAAAGTAAAGAATTCAGGTGATGAAAAAGATGGCTGAAAAGCAGAGGTAGGGACGTGGTATGAGCACACTCAGGGAGCTGTGTCTAACAGGGTCAGGGGCAGCACGGGGGTTTCGGGGGAGCAGTGGCACCGAGGTTGCCTCGAAAGGGAAGGGGAGCATTTTGGGAGAGGAGACGTGAGCAGATGGCAGGAACGTCACAAGTAGGGCAGCCGAAGTGTAGGTCACAGAGAGAAAACCCCTTCGCTTTCACACCTCTGACTGTGTCCCAAGAAGGCTGGTTGGAGAACTTCATGAGCTGAATGCCGCGTCGGTCATAAAAATACTGCTGCGCACCTTTGTTTTTCTTCTACTTTCAGAGGAAACTTTCAGCACCCAAATGTTTTCAGTTCCTTCGAATCTTCCAGTGCTAGACCTCATTTCTCACAGGGAAGCCACTACCACATGTGGATGTCGGGCTCTTGAATTGTGGCTGGTCCAGACTGAGATGTGCTCCATTACTGGTTTTTGAAGATTATAAAGAAAACGCATTGTTAATTTTTATCCTGATTACACTTTAAAATGACACTCTGAATATATTGAGCTAGATATAATTAACATTCCAACTGCTGCTTTTGACCATTTTAGTGTAAATACTAGGAATTTAAAAAGACATACTGTGCCACAATGGCCAGCACTGTTTCTGTGGTGCTGGTACCTGTTACTACACCCTGGAGTTCTGCCCCTGTTCTTGGTGTGCCTGGCATTCAGACATGACAGAGGCTGTTCTACTCCATGGTGAGGCCTCGTGTATTGTTCTGAGCTTCAGATTTTTCATCTGCATAACAGAGACATTGTATTTGATATTTTCCATTTAAAAATGCTCTGAATTTAGCTTTGAGTTCAGTTCTCAGTGTGAACTGTGTTTAACTTTTTCTACTCTGCCTCAAAAGGTCTGTATGACTCCATTTGCCAGCTCTCAGAGAAAGCGACAGTATTGTCTTTTCTCTAAGGAGTAGTAGTGAATTCTAGAATGGGAAGATTTTAGAACTCTGGTGGACTAAAGAAGCTTCTCCCTCTCCTTTTCATTCCTGCTGTTGGCTCCTGAGCTTGAGCACCTGATCCTGGTGTAAACATAGCTGTTAAAATTCACTTCTTGACAAGGTCTTAGTTCTTTGGTTCATGGCTATCAGATGGACTTTTAAGTACCCCAAGTATGGGGCTGGGGATTTAGCTCAGTGGCAATGCACCTGCCTTGCTAGTACAAGGTCCTGAGTTTGATCCCTGGTACCAAAATAAAACCCAAGTATGGCGAGTCCACAAACTTTCTTCAGACATTGAATAGTTCCATAGAAACTGAGAATCTGTCTTTTCCTTTTTGGCCTTGCTGGTAGAGCACATTGGTCATTGTCCTTTTCCTGGTGATGCGTAAATATCTTTCATTTAGCAGTTCTTCCCCTAGTATGCTGCCCAACTGTCGGTCTATCCAGATGCTCAGTAAATGTATCAGATGCGGGGCTGCTTAGGACCCAGATCTCTCAGATGTAGCATTTATCCTACAGGGCAGGCAGATGAGCAGTGACATGGGGCTCATCATCTTGAGAGGGGTGTCCAGTCAGGGCAAGGAGATGACCCCAAGGGCACATTCGGGCGACGAGACATTTTTGGATCAGAAGTTTTGATATTTCAAAGTATGACAAGATTTCACTTAACACATAAGTCAAATAAATAGAATCTCCCTATAAAATATGTTGATATAATTTCATTTAATGGAACCTCAATGTCTGGATGGAAACTATACTGAAATCTGTTCTCATGATACTGGCCACATTATAGTATTTTGCCATTAAATTTGTTTTTCTTTTGGAATAAACTCATAGCACGTGTTATGTTTTTTAAAAAAATAAAGTTAGCAATACAGAGAAAAGATACAGAAAGGGCAATTTTACCAATTTAAAAAAACAGTGGCCATGCGGAGGGAAAACATCCATTTTTGCAGAGTCTGTTTTATTGCAGATGCCTCACTCTGAGTTGCTCTTAGTGCAGCCCTGATGTTCCTCCCAGAGTGTGGGGCTAAGATAGATATGCAGAAGCAGTTTTGTCCAACAGCACTTCTTGTTTTTTGATTTGAGGTTTGTAGGAATCCTCAAATGAGAGGGTACTGACCGGCCTGGAGTGAAATCCCAGATAACCACACTGATTATGGCACAGAAATGGTGACAACGTCTAACATTTATGCATAGTGTTTATTTTGCTTACTGTGCACACACACCAGTTTATCTCCAGAGTGAACAGAAGATATTTTAAAGTGTTCATTAACTGCAGCAACAGCTAGGAGATATTTTATTAAATATATATACAATAGAAATACAAAGTAAGCTTTGTACATTAAATGCCAGCATGTGCATTTTTGAAAAAAACCCGAAAGCTGTTACTGATTATATTTAACAGTGGGAGGTTTAGATATCCATACAGTAAGCACAGCATATATTCATAAGATTTCCTTATAAGTAATTAGGTAGTCTCGCCTGATTGGCTATTTTGCTTACTATGGTTTCAGTTATCCTAAGTAAACCACAGTCCCAAGATGGTAAGTTTCAGAAATAAACAACTTAAAGTTTAAAATTGTGTGGCATTCTGGGAAGTGTGGTGAGATGTGGCCGCAGTATCCCCAGAGCAGAGCAGCTTGCCTCCCTTGTAGCCACTTAACCACCCTTCTGTTATCAGGGCAGTTGTGGTATCACAGTGTTCATGCCCAAGTAACCCTTTCTTGATGATGGCCGGGGAGCACTTCCCCTAAGTGAGAAGGTGAGAGCTCTTAGGGGGAGAAGAAATCACACGCTGAGGTTGCTAAAATGTACATTGTTAATCTCGCACTGTGCCTGATCTATCATTAAACTTACATGTATGCTTGATAGGAAAAACAGTATATATATTTGCGGTTTCAGGCATCCTCTGAGCAAGTACCCCCCTAGATAAGGGGGGACAGTGTACTGAAATATTTACTGTGAATCAATTTTAAATCACTTTAAGGCTTTTCCTACCTACAGTTCTACAAATGAAAAAATAGGAGCGTCTCTAAAGATTTGTGCGCAGTTCCGGCCACATGAGAATACAGGTGTTGAAGCTTTCTCAGGGGTGGAGCCTGGAGAGGTGCTCGGCGCAGCTACACAGGGGTGAAGCCAGCCGGCAATGGCCTAGGAAGCAGCTTTACATTACATAGGGATTCTCAGTCTCTCAGCTCTTGCTCCTCTCCCAGTGCCGCATCGTTCCTTGCGCTAACCAATTTGGAAACAATCCACTTGGAGTTTTTTGCCCATATGGTGGCGCCTGTGACTGGAGGTGGCCCTGGCCTGCAAGGACTGCGTGGGTCCATGAGTGACTTCGCATTGCTTGTTTAGTTTGTGGCAGCTCCAACAGCTGCCCTTTGTCCGGCTATAAGGAGACTAATTTTATGAACATGTATATAAAGTGGAAAAGCTCACTATCAATTATATCCTTAAGCTATATATATAGTTTGCTCTTTCTCATGTTTATTTGCCGTTTGTTTTTTTAAAATTGAGTTTATTGGTACATTTTAGGTATACAGTACAGTCATATTCATTATTGGGCTCTTGTACCTTTACAGGACAGGTCTTGGTTGTAAGCTGTATATTTATCATCTGTTCAGTTTCTGTGCTCATTCATTCAATAAGTGTTTACTGAATGCCTGTTGTGAGGAACCAGGGGGTAGCAAGAAACAAGAGAAAAAGGTCTTGAGCTTGCCAGGTAAGATCAACAAGAAACTGTGTCCCGCACAGGTAACAAGTGACATGAAAAGGCACACTCCAGGTAATGGGAGAGACTGTACACAGAGGGAAGGCGGTGGGTGAGTGTGCAGGCCAAGATCATGGGGAAGTCTTAGGTGCGGTGATTGAGGCAAGACCTAGAAGAATAGCATTTTCAGCATGGAAACAGTCAGTGGTGTGAGTGGGCCCTGGACGGAAGTGGTTATCTTCTGTGATAACCGTGTCACTCGTGTGTGGTGGGGATGCTCGGAACTGACCAGAAGCAGCCACCTAGAAAGGATGCCAGCTTGGTCAAAGAGCAGCGCCTCGGGAGTGCCCAGTCGTCAGCCCTGAACTGCTGGGTTGTGGGAGGTGGGGCGGCACTGGGAAGGACAGGCGCTGGCCGTTCCCCCGTGGGGTACAGAGTGAGGCGTCTCTGCAGACGGCACGGCGTGGGCAGCAGCTGAGCACCAGCCATGCCGTGTGTCGTCTGATGATCTGGGTGTGTGGACTTGCCGACTGGAGCTGCAGACTGTTTTAATTCTGGCCTCTCCGCATAGCGTAGTACAGAAAAGGCACTGTTAAATGGTGGTTTTTAAAAAAATGCCGACAGCTATGCAGTTTACAGTCTGGTCACACTTGGAGAAGGTGACCTTATCAAACTGGATGTGCCCTGCTGAGGTAACCACCCCACCCACTGTCTCTTCCAGGCGGCATCACTGTCCACATAGCCCTACTAAGATTTACAGTAAGACAGAGAAACCATGTCTGCTCTCTGAGTACACCGAGAACTACCCTGTCTACTATTCCTACCTGCCCAGAGAGTCCTTCAAGCCCAGGCGGGAGTACCAGAGAGGGTCCGTGCCGATGGAAGGCCTGACCACGTCAAGGTGAGCAGCCCAGCACGAGAGCAGTAAGTGCGGTACTGACAGGCGGTGCTGGGGACGCGCCGAGCAGTGTGACGCACGAGGCCAGTGCTTTGACATGCTGTGTCTCTGAAAGACAGTCTTGCATGCATGACCTGCTCACTTGTTCCCAGGGCCCCTCTCAAGGAGAAAGGATTTTTGCTTGCCAAGGTGTAGGGTCAGGGAGAGCTGCACTTGTGTGATAAAGGATGGGTAACTAAGCGAAGCCGTGGGGGATGGGAAAGGTGGCGGTTGCTGCTGACAAAGAAGTTTTGGACTCTGTGGAAGGCGTCAGGCCAGCCTAGGTGATGACAGGGGTGAAAGAGAAGCAATAACCCAGAGCGGGCCTCTCTGAAGTTACGCTCTAGATTTGCCCTTTGTGGTAGTGGGGATTGAACCCAGGTCCTTCACTCTGAGCTCTTTCCACACCCAGCTCTTTTTAAGTTTGAGACGGTCTCACTAAGTCACTGAGTTGCCCGGCTGGGCTTGGCTTATGCTGTAGATTTTGTTTTTTTTTTCTTTTTATTGAGGTTATTGGTACAATCTAGGTATACAATACAATTACATTCATCATTGGGATTCTGTACCTTTACATAAGAGGTCTTGATTCTCATTTTTCCCCTTGTCCCTGCCCTCCCTTCACCCCTCCTCCCCTCCCCATTTACAAACACTTCATTTCCATTTTTTCAGTTTCTCATATTTTTTCCCTCTCCCTTATTACCTTTCCCCCACCCTTCCCACTTTCCCTACACCTTTAGCCCTGTACTTCCTATTTCACAGTATTAATTATCTCATTAGGATCCTGTGTACTATTATAGTTTTTCACACCAAAGAAACTATTCGGCATTTCAGTTAAAGAAATCTCTGTATGAACATTAAAAATAGGGAATCCTAAAATAAAACTAAGAAGGAAAGTAAAAGAGAAAAGGCAATGATGTAGGATTTAAATAATCCTTAATTCTGGAGATGAAAATGGTCCCTGAACATATTTAAATTGCTTCTCGCTTTTATAGTCTTGTCTTACTCTTTTCTTCATTATTTAGAGAATACTTTATTAGTTTCTGTAGTCAAACCCACGTAGATATGACCTTACATATTTAGTACGATGTGTTACCCCTGTACACATGGAAAAAAAATAAAAAATAAAAATAAAAATAACATTTCTAGACCAATATGGTTGTCCACTTCTGTACAATGCCAACTCAACACAGTAAATTGGGATGACTTTTTCCAAAGTTGGCAGCACCGCTAAAGTTTCCCAAAATTCAATTTATATATATATATGTGTGTGTGTGTGTGTGTGTATATACATATATATATGTATTTATATAAAAAGACTAATAATAGTATGTTATGCATCGATAGCAGCAACAGCTTTTCCAGGTTCTGCAGTCATCTGAACAAAATTATAGACATTCAGCACATTCCATTTAAAAACAAACAAACAAAAAAAGAAAATAATATCCAGAAAACAGCAAAGTTCTGTTGCTATTGTGGTACCTGGCACCATTTTTTTCTATTAGCCTCTTCATCATCATCTGGAAAGAGAACATTCTAGAGTAATATCATTAAATGTAGCTCTGATAAAGCACGGTCCCTACTATGTATCATGAAGCAGGTACTAGATATTTTACATTCATAGAGATTTGATACAGTACCGTCCTACATCAATAATACTAGATTCAGTTTTGGTTTGAAATTTACTTTTTCTGCCAATAAGATTGCTACCCCTGTTTTTTTCTGGGCTCCTGTCACATGGAGAATTGTTTTCTTTCTTTTCACTTTCAGTCTGTGGACTTCTTTTTGCACTAGGTGTGTTTCTTGTATACAACATATTGTTGGATTTTGCTTCTTATTCCATTTTGCCAGTCTATTTCTCTTGATTGGTGAGTTGAGGCCATTGACATTGCTGGTTATAACTGATATGTACTGACCTGTTATTGACATGTTATTGGCCTTTTGTTGACTTTTTACTTTTTCACCTTCTCCTTTTAATTTCTTGCCTTGCCTATTTGATTTGCTCTGTTGGGCTTCATGATGTTGTTACCTTCATTATCTTTTTCTAGGATCTTGTTTAGAATTGCTTGTAGTGCTCTGGTTTGGTATTCATGTAGTTTCTCAGGTGTTCTTTGTCATGGAAGTGTCTTATTTCCCCATCCATTTTGAAAGAGAGTTTTGCAGGATACATCAGTCTAGGTTGGAGGTTGTTCTCTTTTAGTACTTGAAATATCTCATTCCAGGCTCTCCTTGCCCCAAGGGTTTGTGTTGAAAAGTCTGCTGTGATTCTGATGGGCTTTCCTTTGTATGTGATTTGTTTCTTTTCTCTTACTGCTTGTAGTATTTTATTCTTCTGTTGCATTTCTGGGATCTTGATTATGATATGTCTAGGTGTAGATTTTTTTTGATTGTAGCTAGTTGGGGTCCTATATGTCTCAGTATCTGAATGTCAAATTCTTCCCCTCTGTTTGGGAAGTTTTCTATCATTAATTCTGCGAACAGCTTTTTAAAGTCATTTGTATTTTCTCCTGCTACTTCATGGATTCCTATCAGTCTTATGTTATTCTTCTTTGTATCATCTAGGGGTTGTTGGATCGATTTCTCATGTTCTCTTACTGTTTTTAAGAGACCTCTCTTTTCATGGTCACTGACTGCAATCTTATATCTTCTATATCTGAGAGCCTATCTTCACATTCTTTTATTCTGTTGCATACACTTTCAATAGAGTGTTTCATCTCCTGGATATCTGTTCGAATCTGTTTTATGGATTCCGTTTCTTTCCTATGTTGGGAGTTTATTTTTTCCGTTTCTTTCTTATGCTGGGCCTTCATGGCTTCTATCATGGTCCTGAGCTCATCTATTTTTTTGTCAGTTTCTGCTCTAGAGTCTCGAGTCACAACTTCTATTTTGCTCACTATCTCTATGGTTATCTGGGTAATTATTTCTGTTTTGAATTTTTCTAGAGCCTGATCAATCTGTTTTGTTACTTCCTGTGCTTTGAGTTCAGGGTGTCCTGGTGGTTCACTATCAGCCTTTTCGTCTTCATTTGCCCTACTGTTTGCCATTGGTAAACTGGAAGTCTGTCCTTGTGTCTTGCTTAAGTGTTTTCTCATTTTAATTTTTGTTGTGGGACTGTCCTTGGTTTAATCTCTGGATTATCACCCAAATCTTCCTGATATAGTTGCACCCTAGCTTCTGTGTCTGTAATGACCCACAAACATTATCATCTTTATAACATCAGAGAAAACAGCTCATCAAATCAACGGCAATGCTTTACCCCAACTGATATAA